TCAGACCAGCGTGACACACGCAGGAAGGCCGGGCCCGCGTGGATGGTGACTCGCACAGAAGGGCACGAAGAGAAGCCTCTGCCCCCAGCCCAGTCCCTGACCCAGGAGGGAGGCCCTGCAGCTGGAAAGGCATCTGGTGCAGATGAGCGTGACACACGCAGGAAGGCAGGACCGGCCTGGATGGTGCGTCGCTCTGAGGGGCACGAGCAGACACCCGCTGCCCAAGCCGCAGGGCTCGAAGGCGGCAGAGGGCGCGCCGTGGCAGATGCCCTCAATAGGCAAATCCGGGAGGAGGTGACGAGTACAGTGAGCAGTTCCTACAGGTGAGACAGGGGTAACAGGTGATACTGATCACCCTTGTCCCCTCGCGAGGACAATCCAGGGTCCATTTCCCCACTGAAAACTTCTCATTCAGCCTCCTCTCTAGTGCTGGACCACGCCCTCTCTCCATAGCCACATTCTAGAACCCTCACAACCCAGACTTCTCTGCCCCGCCCTGTAGGAAAGCCCTTAACATTTTCTACCCTGGTCTTCCCGGCTTGTTTTTTTGTGCCACCCCTAAACCACACTGCCCTCCTTGCTACCTAGCTCAGCACCCTACCCGCCCCACAGAGACCTTGCCAGTTTCCTCCCAGCTAGAGTGCGCTTTCCTCCTGTCTGCCCAGTTCACCTGCTGCCTAGGCCTGGATACTGCCACTGCCACCCCCACCCCTCACCCCCAGTTGGCTCCACTGCCACCCATTCCTTTCTCAGTTCTTTCCAAGCAATCCGTTCTCCTCCCTAGTCCATTTCTTTCTCTTGGTCTCTCATTGGCTTCCTCCCCAAGTCCCTGGCGGACACTCAGGTGCCACACCCTTTTCTGGATTGCCCACACGTCTTACAAATGACTCTCCTTCTCAACCACTAGTGCTTTGAATTCATTTTCCTCCCGCTTCTTCAGTAGCTTTGGCACATGGGGCGAGCTTCTTAACCTTCCCGGGCCTCGAGATCTTATCTGTAAGATGGAATCAGTGAAAGTTATCGTAGGACTGTCCACACAAGCACTGATTTAGAGTGACATTTTCTGTATAGTTTTGAGGATTGACTATATGCCAAACACTGTGCTGGCCGTTGGGAGGATTGAGAGAGGTGACTCATGAGGAATGGCCATGCCTGGGACGTAGTGGTAGTTTTTTGTGTCCATTACAGTCTCCTAGATGATGCATCCTTCGTCTAGTGTCTGCTTCCTAGATATCTCCAGCCCTCTTCCCTACTGAGGCAGCTCCTCTCTCCCTCTGGGTTCAGTAGATGTGTTTCTTATCCTCTCTGGCACATTCACATTCCCTGTTAATGAATGCATCCAAGGTTGGAAGCATCGCCCATTTTTACACACACACACACACACACACACACACACACACACACACACACACACGCCCGTCTCTAGAATTCTCCTGTGCTGCAGCCTCGGTCTTCCAGCTTTTTCACCCTCCGTCCATCCAATGTGTATTTCTGAATGTTTAGCTTTCAGGCCTGCCTTTATGTTTCAACCAACATCAATTAGCAGACAGACCCTGGTTGACTTGAACATAGATCACCGAACTTGGGGTTCTGAGGAGGCCGGTGTGTGTGATGAGTGAGCGAGCTGGTGTTGTCCAGGCGTGGCTCCTGGGGCCCTTCATCGGTGCCATAGTCCATTAGGTGCCTTTTCCCTGCGAGCGCAGAGTTAGTGTCGTCTGCCCACACTGTGTGCGGCCTCAGGTCCGAATGATGGTCTGCAGTGGACATGGCAAGCGTTCCTTCACACACAGCAAAAGACCAGAAGACATAGAAACTCTCTTGTTAAGGCAAAACCAGACCCCCTGCCTCAGAATTCCGTGTCTTCCTGAGCTCTGCCTCCCTCCCACTAGTTCTCTCTCTCCGGGTTGAGTGGTATCACAGCCATACTGGTCTTCCAGAAGTAGCAGCCACTTCTTTCACAGCTCTGGGTCAAGCAAGGATGAAGCTCCTTTTCCTCGGACAGCCGCAGGGAAGTGGGATTTTCACAGTGATGTTTACACTAGTAACGGAAGATCAAAGGGGAGAGGGCCACACACAAGCAGGCGTTAAAACCCCACAAAGAAAGACGTGCTTTTCTGGTTCTGCCATGACTCTCTTGTTCACAAGTCCTGGCTCATTATCTGAGAAGCCTGTGGGTAGCCTGACATGGGATTCCTGCCCCTTTCATCCCATTTCCACTCTGCCCTGCCCTGGAGGGTGGAACCTTACCAACCACCTGGCAGGATCTTCTTCCTGCTCACCTTCATAGAGACCATGGCAGTCCAAGGTTCCCACACTGCCTGGGGTGATCGCTCAGTTTAGGTTTCTGAGCTGGCTGGGTTCGCTCTGTTGGTGGAAGCTGGGTCAGACGTCAGAAAAGGAGCGTGGCCCTCAGAGGCACTCCCTGCAGATGTTGGTCTGTGGCTTTGTTCTGTAGAGCAGCAGGCTTCCCCACAACCAAACCTTACCTGGAATCGGCATGCCTGCCTCGTGTTCCCAGTTACACAAATGCTGGATGGCTAGACTGAGTAGGGAACACGATCTCTGGATGCCTGTGAGCATGACCGCTTTTACCGGCTACCAGACGTCTATCAACCTATCAGGGACAATCTTTGAACATCTCATTTTATTTTTAAAAATCACTTTTTCTGCAAAATGCATACATATGACTTTGTGACCATCGGTGCTATATTCTGAAGCATTAAGAAAATGAGTTGCTAAAAGACAGACATTACTTTACTGAACTTATGACACATTTGTGGTGAAATTTATTTTGTTGCTGTTGTTGTTGTTTTTCCAGAAGAAACGTTAACCAATTCTAGAGAAATGGACTTTGGATGAAAGTAACTGGGAAGAAGTAATATATTCTATAAATTAACATAAATATACTGTAGAGAAAATATGTTGGGATGTATAGGCCTATTTGGAACATTGATTTTTTTCCCCCTTGCCTATTGTCTGCCATTCTTTTTCTTGCTATGATTCTGAACAGTTCCTTAAGTATGCTCCATGTCTACTGTAGAGGGGCCTAATATCACCATAGAAACCAAATTAGGCTCCATGTCAATGACGATTTGATTTCTAAAACCTTTTCTTCTGCCTCTCTCCATAAATCATGTTTATGCCATGGCAGCTGGTTTCTCTCATGGGCTTTACAAGTGACATCCATCATAGGACAGCAATGTGAACAGTTTGCTTTATTAGGGAGAAAAGGCCACATGATCCATCATCGTCATATATTGGTCTTTAATGTAATGTATATTCAATATGCAGAATCATACGTATGCTAAATAACAGTCACTAAATAACATCCGCCATCCTGGCCTACTCTGGTTTTGAGACATTGTCCTGTTCAGCGGCTCGTTTGATTCATAACCCATCACATTGGCCTGGGATTTTTGCACTCAAGTGGTATCTGAGGTATCTTTGTCATTATTCATAATCATAAGGTTGATTAAAATTTAATATATTCTTTTTGCATAGATGATACTATAAAATCGAGAACCGTGTCTTAAAGGTGGATTTTATTGGGCAGTCATTTGTGACATTTGACCTGGCATCCTCAATTAGGAAAGAGATGAGTCACAAGGAAGGGGGTAAAACCCCCTCCCAGTCAGGCCCGTTGCCCTGGCTGTCAGCTAATCGGGATGGATGTGGCCGCAGGTGCTCCCTGTAGAAATGCTAATGGCAAACTCTTCCTAGACGCAATCAGTGGGGGCTCTGCGAGGTGCCATTTGTAAACCAGAGGCAAAATGCTTGAAAAATGAAAGCACTAACAGGAAGTCAGAAAGGAAAAGAACCTTTGGCGTCTGCCTTCCCGCCTTGCATGAAGGTTGGAGAGGGCCCATCTGACTTGCTCACGCCGAGTACCAACTATACACGCTTCCCTAATTCTCTGCTTCCCAAGTCTAGCCATACCTCATGACAACCTGAGACACTGACTCTCCAACACCTCCCTCGGTCCTGCCTTTCAGAATGATTCCTTTCTTTCTGCTCACAATGAACTATATGAACTCTTTTGTCTTGGCTTTCTTGTTGAATGTGCTAGCCCACATCTCCCCAGCTCACGAGCACTCAAAGAGAAGGATGTTGTTTGTCCTGCTTGTATATTTCACAGCCTAATTCTGTGCTTGGATTTCTTGATCGTATGGGATTTTTAGGGCTTAGTGAAAGTTATTCGCCTACATATTGATAAATTCCCTTCAGTATCATGCGGTTGAGTTTACAGCATAAAATGGCCACCAAACCCATGCCAACTAGGGTGCTGGGGGTACCAATGAGTAAGCTTAATCGTTTTTTTTGTTTGTTTGTTTGTTTGTTTCTAAGATTTATTTATTTATTGTATATATAGTGTTCTGCCTGCATGTACACCTGCAGGTCAGAAGAGGGCCCCAGATCTCATTATATATGGCTGTAGGCCACCATGTGGTTGCTGGGAATCGAACTCATGGCCTCTGAAAGAGCAACTGGTGCTCTTAACCTCTAAGCCATCTCTCCAGCCCGAGTAGGCCTAATCTTACCTAAGGAAGGAGGTCACATCTTCTTTAACTGGAATAAGGCCTGAATTCTGCCAAGTTACCCCAGAGGGAAATGCTCACCCGGGGAATGCCAGCGGGGCCCATGGCCTCTCTGCACAAGCCTTCACCTAGGGCAAGTGCCTCAACCTCGCCGCATAGCACAGTCTTTAAAAATGCTGAGGCAGGGCCTGGAGAGATGGCTCAGCTCATAAAGTGGTTGCTGTGCAGGCGTGAGGGCCGGAGTCTGGATCCCCAGAACCCATATAAAATGTCAGGTGGGGCAGCATGCTCCTGTAACCCCAGCTCTGGAGCAAACACTGACAGATCCCTGGAGCTTAATGGCCAGCTTGCCTAGCTGAATTAGTGAGTTCTAGGCTCAGTGGGAGACCTGTGTCAAAAAATAAGGTGGTGCAGCAAGACCACAGAAGACACCTGATATCAACCTCTGGCCTCCACATGCATGTGTGTACAGATGTGCGTGCACACAAATGGGTACACATACATGTTTTTTTTTTTAAATGCTAATGTATAGGTGTCCCACCCAGAAATTCTGCCGCAGTTCATCTAGGGTATGGCCTGAACAGCTGAACATCCTGAACTTCTCAGTGATTCTGTAGCCAGCCAGGTTATGGTCTCTTCCTAAGTCAGGGTTCTCAAACTTCAGGATGTGGAAGAACCACCTAGGGAATTTCTAAGCTTCAGATTCCTGGGCATGTCCTCAGACATCCTATTGGGCAAGTTTAAAGTGGGACCCCCACATCTGTTCTTGCTGAGTTAGACTTAAGGCT